GGAGGTGGCTCCGACGCGGGCACTACCCCAACGCCTAGCAACTCCAGCAACGAGCGCCTGTCGAGGCCTACCATTAAAGAGGGCGGTGGTTCAGAAGATAGCGATGGGTTTCACACATCCCTTTTCTCCATCTTGATTATCTGCCCGCAAACGCACAGCCGCGAGGCCACGACGAAGCATATCGAGATGACGCTGCCAAAGAGTAACCCTCACCAGATCACAGCGGTCGCATCTGTTCAGGAGGCGCGCAAGCTGATCGGTGGTGAGGACCCCGTCTTCTTCACGCACGTGGTGGTTAACCTTCCGACGCCTGAGCAGATCATTGAGTTGATGGATGAAGTCCAGCGCTCAACCATGATTGGCCGCGGCGTTACCATCCTCATTCTCTCCGACTCGGTACAGCGACAGGCGGTTCTGAAGCAGGTAGCCGGTACCCAGTATGAGGACATTTTGTCTGAAAACCGGGTGACCTATATCTACAAACCTGTCAAGCCATCACGGTTCGCGGTGATCTTTGATCCGGCCAAGGAGCGTGATCTCAGCATCGACCGGAACAGATCAACGGCAGAGCAGTTGGTGGAAAACCAAAAGCAGAGTTACCTTGAGGTGGAGAAGCGCATGGGCAACAAGGGGTACAAGGTCCTCTTAGTTGAGGATAACTTGGTCAACCAAAAGGTGCTGCAAAAGTATCTCAAGAAGGTCGGCGTGGACGTGGAGTTGGTCGCAGACGGAGTAGAGTGCACTGATGTCGTGTTTTCGCGGCCTCATGATTACTTTTCGTTGATCTTGGTATGTCTTATCACCCCCGCCGTCTGTTGTTTAGCAAGTGAGCTCTGTACCTAACCATCGTCCCAACAGTGCGATCTCCACATGCCACGCAAGGACGGATATCAAGCCTGCCGCGAGATTCGTGAATGGGAAGCCAAGGGCAACTTCCCAGGGAGGGCGTTACCCATCATCGCCCTGTCGGCAAACGTCATGAGTGACGTCCAGGATAAGTGTCTCCAAGCAGGGTTCAACGACTACGTAACGAAACCTGTCGACTTTATCAACCTGAGTAATGCTCTCTCGAGGTTCTTCTAATGAATCTGCCGACGGGACCTCACTACATTATTCTTTCACACACAAAAACACGGAAGAGGAAGATAACGGACGGGAAAGGGGAGGGAATGGGAAGCAACGAAGGAAAGAATTGCTGGCAAACGGAAATGGAACTGGCTTTTGCAGGACTGGAAGGGGAGGGTACATCATTGCATATCATCATCCGTCATCCGAAATCACTATCTCATCGTTATTATTTTCGAACACTTTGTGTTCTGTTGACAACGCTGATAGATAAAGGCGAAAAAACGCACAAAGCCGAAAACTGCGAAGGGAGAGAGAGCGAGAATTTTGCTAGAGATATCAGTTGTTATCACACCTTTCTGCTCTCTCTTGCCATGTATCACTAAACATATGTCTTAATTGTCTTTTTCTTTTACTTTCACTTCTGTTGTTTGTCCTTTCCTTCTCGTCTTGTTTATTTTCTACAGGTCTACAGGTAATGAAAAGGGTTTGGTTGGTTGGCGAAGGTTAAGATGGGATGGCTTCTTCTATCTGGCATGAGGATTGGCATCAGGGCATAGTCAATGATTCGAAGGGTTTTTTCTTGTTTGTTATCTGATGTAATGTTGCTCTATGAATGGAATGCATAATGGGAGGTCTCGTTTAGATATCGCTAGTCGACAATAATCACGTTAGATATTTTGTGGCGGAACAACAAAAGATCAAAGTTAAATCAGTATGTCGAGAGTGGACATGAAGTCCACCAGTGCGAGTCAAGTCGTGGGATATCTTCAAATGATTTCGACAGACCAAATCATGAATGATGAATCCGGCAGGAACCGACAACTCATGGCCATACAATCCAAACTTGCGGGAGCGATTGGAATTCTGATCAAGTGTTCCCTCGAAGTCCAAAGTGTAATGTGTATATAACCACCTCACATCGCTCCCTCATCACACCTTCAAACACCATCACTTCTGAACCCCAGACACCAACACCAAAAACGTATGACCATGGACACCAGGACAGTGACTCGGGATCCCGCTCGCCCTCTCATAGATACGCCGGTGACCGCCAGTCCAGTCGTCGTAACATTGACAACCGCTGTTTCTTATTCTTTTCTTATTTTATTTTTTTATGTCTTTTCCTCCCTCAGAGGTCTTTTGGCTTTACTTTTCGAAGAGAAAGGGCGAGGGAGGGAGGCAGGGACAACCTAGCAGTTCGGCCGCTCGCTCCTTCCCAATTGCTCTCCGTCGCTTCTTCTTCTATACCTCCCGATCGGTATTTTGGGGAAGGCATAACCCCATGGTCTAGGTCGCGGCTTCAACAATTTCCGCAAAGTTTTTCACAGTGGGCGATGTTTTTTTTTTTTTTTTTTTTTTTTGTTTTTTTTTGTGGTAAAATGGAGGCCAAGCTGATGGAGAGGTACATTACAATCTTTTACTATCTCACCCATAGAGGTATGTGAATTACTGTTACACAATCTCTCTCTCACACATACACACCTCGTCAGACAGGGGTACAAAGCCTGGATTGAGCGCCTGGACATCTAACATACTGCAGTGGAAAAATCAGGAAGTCATGAAGGCTTCCGGGCGATCAAGCAGGCATCTTGGTTGAGGTCGGCCTCCAATCTAGGAGCTTCTGCTTGGCCAAGTTATTCGTGCAATGAAGCCATCGCACAGCCTAAATCTTTGTGGCTGTTCTCATAGCGGACTGGCTGGGCAATTCTATCTCAAAAAGCCCTCTCGAAAGGAATCATGGTTCTTTCCAGGAAATGAGATCATCAAAGCTTGTCTCAATCAATCACGCCAGTTGCCCAATAACATGGCTTTGTTTCTGTAACTGCCAGTTCGATCCCGTCCGGTATCGTCTTTTCGTTCCGTGCAAACCTCGTGTCAAAGTGTGAATGCCCTCGTCTACATCCCGGACTTCAAGTCACAAATCTGCACGCCCACCCGCTTGTCTTTTCCCAGGGTTGGAACAGACTTCATGGACCCAGGGATGCGTGTAAACCAACGAAGCCTACTATCTGCCAAGAAAGCCTTCCTACTTCTAACCTCCCGATATCAACGCTGCGGTACATAATTCTACAAGCTACCGTCGGCCTGAGACTGAAACATCCACGTCCACCCTACTCTCCCTCTCACTATGTCCAGTGAAAGTTGTGCAAGCCCCGACAGAACCAAACTGGCGTTCAACCTACCTGCTGGGTACAAGTTAGTCGGTAATATGACACAGCGACACAGCAAGTTGCTGAATCTGGGCTGATTTGAGTCATGTGAGGCGTGAGTCGTGAGAAATAGTGTTACCTAGGCTAGCTAGCTGGCTCGCTGGGATTTCAGGCCTCCACAGCTTCTTCTGACTGGTCTAGGGGCATATAAGTGCACAGTTGTTCTTTATCTACATAGGTGTGGCACTGGTAGGGGGAGCACATAGAACCTTTTTCCCTTCTTTGTGTCACTTAAACACAGATACGGACATGAACAACACAGATACAGACGCGGACGGCCCTGGTCCCAGCCCTTGGAGCTTGAGCTTGGTGTACCAGCAATGCGGCATGTGAGATTCTAGGCGTGCAGATTTTGCTTCGCATATCGAACATCGCAAGGAAGCCCCTATTCGATTGAGTACCGGTACACTGGGATATTGGAAGATGAACGTTGTCTGGTGACTACCATTATCAAGATATATCATTCACAGTCTTTAGACTCTTGAAAGGGAAGGATTGCATGTTTCGCACATGATGACCATGGCGTGTCATGCTTTACTTGTGTAGTTAAAGCTTAGTGCTCAGAGCTTTAATACCGGCTCCCACAACTTGTAAACAGACTACAGCATTTCAATAAACGTACCTGAATAGAATTACACGGAGCAGACGAAAAGTGAAGGTGGGTATTGTTCGAGATATTCCATCCCTCAATATACTCCTTTCCTTTCACTACAGTTCACTTCGCTCTTCCATCTCTGGCATCTCCTTTTCCCAGGCTCAGAACTCTTCCTCTTTGTCGCAGACCTTGCCTTGACCGGTTCAGAGACAAAACATACAGGAACTCAGACCAAAGTGTCGTCAATCCCCAAAGAAGCAAGTGGATACAGACACAAAAAGCTTGTCTTGGATACAACGGAAAAATCTGCGTAACATGCCAGGAGCTAACAGTGAGACTGCTGTTGTGTAATACTCCTCACCACCACAACTACACCAACAGGAGACAGAGACAGAACAGACAGCGACCGGCCGACCGGCCTGAGACAAATGATAGGTACGTACATACAGTGAGTATGTAGTACATAGCACCGCATTCGACGCCCTTGTGCTGGCCCCCCATTTCTCAAACGGAACGGAATGGCTGACGGCACGGCCGGTGGCTTTTTCCTTCTCTTCTCTTCTCATCTCGTCCGCCTCCCACTTTTCTTTGTACCATTAGCAAGGTAAATGTGAAAACGAATGACCACGTAGGAGCTGTGCATGGTTATGCGGCCAGAAAATAGTATGGTCACAGTGCATGCCCCGTGAGGCTCAAAGAGAATACCAGGATGTCATCGGAGAGCGGAGCGACAACTGACGAGCAAGTATCGAAGCAAATCGCAATTTGGATGAGTTGCTGTACACCACATGGCCGCGTAAAGGTACATGGCTCTGAGAAATCACAGATACAGAACCCCCCTCACTCGTCTTACTATCTCCAATAATCCCCATACTAAAGAGACCACTCAAAGCTAGCAATGTATAGGAATGCGTGATGTAGGGCATGGTGGTGGTGCCAACTCGGCAGTCTCGGGTGACTTTGAACTGACCCCCTAGGGGCGTGTTAGAGAAGGGCTTCAGGTAGCAAAAGCCATCATGCCTGAGGGGAGGATGGGGCAACACAAAGCAGAGAGAGACACAAAGATGAAGGGTCGAATCAGAAATCAAGGTGTGTGGCTGTCGTTGGGAATTGGCAAGCAAAGTGTGTTAGATCGCGTGGCACAGGATCGTGAGACCAGCACCCCTCCACCCCGTCTGTCGTGTCCGGCGGACAAACGGCATACCGGCACCGGCCCAGCGGCGGCGGCCGCGGCGGCGGCATAATCTAGGAACATTGAACTCTCCCTCCGTGGGTGTCGGTCTAGCGAGCTGCTTATTGTTGACAAAGTGGACCGGCCAGTTCGGTTGTCCACGGCCCTCTCTCTCTCTGGGGAACCTCAAACGGCCCAACGGCCGGAGACGGGTGAAGGACGGAGCGAGTGGAACAAAAGCTTCTGTGTTTCAGGCTGTCAAGGGAGAAGTGTCCCCGCAAAATGCCAACTCATACTTCATCACGTAACGAAAAGAAAGAAAAGAGGCCCATTTTCGAGCGGCATACCGGGGGGCTGCGGACACGCATGCCGGAGATGGTGCGGCACCGGGGGGCGAGCCAGTAGCAGCCGGCAGTCGTACGGGTCCGCAAGGACAGCTGGACGATGGTTGGACATAAGGCCAGCCTAGGAAGGGTCCAGAGGGAACCAGACTCATGCAGTGACGGAAGCAAACAACACGAAGCAGTGGTCTGCCTTAGCTAGAGGTAGTATCAAGTGCGCACATTTTTGTTGGTCAGTACATGCGTGTCAATAGACCAATGGAAATAACCATCACATACCCGGTGGACTTTGTCAGGCTGCGGGAGACGGGAGGGAGGGTGACGGGAGACGGGGACCCAGAGAGCACTTCGGGATCCGGCGGACGGGAGACTCCCGGAACGGGAGGTGCGGATCCAGTACCCACCATCTGCACTAATTTTTCCGTAGTCCTCTTCTTTTTTTTGTGCGTGTGTGTGTGTTGTGTGGTTGCTGTCCCCTTTATTCTACCGAGCCGTTGGGTCTACACTAGCTCGTCCCTGACAAAATCGATGGCACCCAAGTCCACCACTCAGACGACTAAACTCAGCCAAAATACCACACAGATTAACGATTGTTATTGCATTCAATGCCCAATAAAGATGCCTTCACAGTCTGTGTAGTCCTATAGGATCCAGGGTGTTTAACAAATTTATCTGTTGATTGCTTTCTGCGCTAAGGTCGCCCATTTTGGGGTGCAAACTTGGACCCAGGTGCCATCAATTTTGTCAGGGACGAGACTAGGTACACATACTTGTACGGCTTCGCCACAGCCACAGACGACCGCCCAGATCAACACAACGGCGGACACGTTTTCGCTCAAGGCTGCCTGCGGTCATTGCATTCCTACCAATAGAATGAGCTATCACATAACTAACAGACATCATGATGAATTTGGATTCACGAATATGTACCCAACTGCCAACCCCAAACAACGGCGTTGAAACGAGCACACTTTGTTAGTGGGGTTCTCGGTCCAACATCGAGATGGATGCTCATTTAATACGTTGTTGGGTAAAATTGAAGGTGTTGGTGTTTATGCCACAACAGTGGAGATGAATCTTTTTGGGTTAACTTGAGTTTCCAAGACAAAACAAACGCCGCGGGCGCTCCGTCTCTCGCTCTCGCTTTCTCATTCACTTTGATACAGTGCAATTGCCAGGCGGCATAGAAAGAAATCGGTGGAACGAATGCTGGGGATTGTAGCGGACAAACTCCCTCCACCTACGGGCAGGTACATAGACTACCCAGCAAAAGACGACCTGCACGTAAACAGAGCCGCAAAAAGCAACCACCTGGCGGCTGCTGGCAGCCATTGGTAGCTAACCGTTGACTGCCCATGGGCAAAAGGGATGAGCTTCATGGATGATGATGATGCATTGCTCGCTTACCTACCGTGTACTTTTCGAGCTCGGAGCTGACCGGCTTCAGCTTTGGGCATGAGGTCGGAAAGAAAAGACCTTGTCTCCCTTGCGTTCGCTCAGCCGATCGATGTCACGAAATTGGCCCACGAGCATTGACACATTCTCTATGTCGAAAACTGATGAAACAATGGCCATGTCACAATGTCCGGGAGCTGCTGGAACGGTGGTGACGCAAGAAGTGAAAAAGGCGAATTCCACCCCAAATTCCCATTCTCGAGTGGGGTCCGTGTCGGGACCTGGGTGGGGCCGTTGACAGCTGGTTAACTCGCGCTAACCGGTTCCTATCCGAAGTGCCCAAGCAGTTGGGCGGACCTGCGGCAGATCCCCCAGCCCGAGTCCTGCAGGGCGGCCCAGCCCACAGGAACCATGCCAGCTGCCCCTGATCACCCAGGCAGACAGCCTCAACCTCCAGCTGGCCCTTCAAAGAGCCGCCGAGTGCAGGTGCCGTGCGGCCGATGAGGATCGGAGGGATCGATCGGTTTGGCAAATCGAACATTCAGTTCCCTTGCCTCGAAATGCCGATAGCCTGCACATGCCCCTTGCCTGATCGCAGACGCAGGCTGAAACGAGCTCACAGCTATCGCCAAGTGGTAGCAGCTTAACATGCCAGGAATACCAATAATGAAACTGCTTCCTTTGATGCAAGCTCGTTCGGTGCAAATTTCCCAAGGATTTTCTGTTTTGGGTTCTCTACCTCTAGGTACACTTAACTTAGCTTGTGTCCCTTGCCGCAGATCCTTGGCTGCTTCTAAAAGGAGATGGACAAATAGATTACCGTCAACTGCGCTGCACACGCCCTTTCTCGTTCCAACCTCCAAACAGCACTGCAACTGTGCAATATCCCAATTACGGATCCTTTTCTTTCTTCACCCCCTTTTTTTCCTGCCGTAACACGTCTCACGATGTGAACATGGCTCGATAGAAGCGCGAGGAATGGTACGATAATCTCCCGCCCCCAAAACAGGACGGGCCATGGAGTGGCTTCTCCTTTTTGACTCACTTTGTTGGAACCTTGGATGTACCTAACAAAGGTGTGAAGCGTGAGCCTTCTGAATTTTCAATGGTGTTTCGCAGTTCTAGGGGTATCCATGGACGAGCTACAATGACTCACTTGCTGTTAAATCAAGCAGAAAGCTCTATCCCTACCTCTCCCCAGCCTGCTCGAGCCTGCTTCCCGTGGTTTTCACTCCCGTCGGCACCGAATCCGAACCGCGATGTCGCCATCCCCGCCGCAGCCTTCCTGAAGGCAGGGTGAGCTGGGCTGACGATGCTAGGCGGACAGTGGCAGCCCAAAAGTCCAGACCAAGCCAAGACCGAAACTCCGCTTAAAATTTTTAAACCCATGACGGAAATTTCGAGTTGATGCTGGCACTCTCATGAAGCTGACGCGAAAACTTTGATGGTCATCAGCCTCAATCAGCTCCTCCCTTCAGTCCATTGCACAGTCATCGATCGGTATCGATGGTATCGATCCGGTGGCTCCCGACCAGGAAGATAAG